GCCAGGCCAAGAACTCGTAAGGGCAGGCCGCGCAGCTCCTCAGCTGACCAAGGCAGGCTCCACGCCAAAGCTAACCAGGCTGTATGTGATCTTGTGGGCTATGCATTCTGCAGGCCTGTTCTTTAAAGCCTTTGAACTTCTCTGATCACAGGAAAAGCCGACAGCCCTACCAGAATCAGTGGGAGCTTTGCCTGGGGGGAAAAAAAAAAACAAACCCAAGCTGGATGACTGAATTCCCTATGTTGTGCATTCCACGCGCTTAACATGACCAAGAACAAAATCTCTCTCAAAAAGAAAGTTGTCACATTAACAGTGAGGTCAGGGTTCAACTGCTACATGGGAAGAACCACCTTTATTTGTATGATATTTGTTACTTGATATGTGAGAAAAAAGAATGTTATAACAGAGGTAGAAAATGCTAAGATGCATCATAAAGAATTATTCATCTATTCCACATCGAGGAATGTCTCAATACAACCCCAAAATTAGAAATATTGTGGAAGTGCTTCACAAATGAGGCCTTCTGTGAATAATAATGATCCATTAATTCATTACAATATAGGGTTCTCACATCTTTTTATTCAGAGAGCATTGTCAAAACATTATGGAAGGGGGAAAAACACATAAACCCCCATATTTTAACATTTTTGTATTAAGAAGTAAAGCTTTCTCACTGCAAAAGATCCAATCCCCTTCTGCCTACACAAATGCTGTCAAGTAACTTCAAACATTTTCACTGTTGGCATATTTAAGGTAATCAATCACCCACTGACACATATTATAAAGCAAGGGCTGAGACTGCAGCAGCAAGCATTACACCGCAGCAACAGGGCATCCCACAAGTTGCTGCTTTGCTACAGCTCTTAACAGCTCAGGATTGCAGGAAATCTTGTCAGTTCTGTCTGCAAAATTAGTTATGCACAGCTCTTGCGTTCCTTAGACCCAGAATGGAAGAGCAGAAACGTCAATAATTGCAGATGATCATGGCCACACACAAGTAACACCTATCTGGTTTTCTCTACGTCTAGAGCACAAGTCTTATGAGGAGCGGCTGAGGGAACTGGGGCTGTTCAGCCTGGAGAAAAGGAGGCTGAGGGGAGACCTGCCTGATCGCTCTCTACAACTACCTGAAAGGAGGTTGTAGCTGGCGGAGTGTCGGTCTCTTGTCCCAAGTAACAAGTGACAGGACAAAAGGAAATGGCCTCAAGTTGTGCCAGGTGAGGTTTAGATTGGATATTCGGAAAAATTTCTTCACCAAAAGGGTTGTCAGTCACTGGAACAGGCTGCCCAGGGGAGCAGCTGAATAACCATCCCTGGAGGGATTTAAAAGACACGTAGATGCGGTGCTTAAGGACGTGGTTTAGTGGTTGGACTTGATGATCTTAAAGGTCTTTTCCAAACCAAACGATTCTATGAAATCCTACTTTTCTGTTACTGGAGTATTTTTCCCTTAATTCCTCCATTTTTATGGGGGGGCAGGAAGGGACCAGCAATCCAAGTCTCAACTATTTATTGGGCTTTCACCCGAAGGAACGACACAAGAAAGGCCAAGACCCACTCCTTTGTAAGATGTATTAAACCCTTTTAGGAACTAATTCTACCCTGTGGATGAATGCAGCAGTGAAGTTGAGTGAATTACCCTGGAGCACTTAAACACAACTTCCAGTATCAAAGCTCACTAAGGTTCTGTATGGCATCACAATCTGCTACAATGCTACATCTCTAGTATCTCTCAGTTTCCCAATAAAGCATCTCAGACTCAGGTACACTTGAATGTCAAGAAACTGAAGGGTGGAGTAGGACAACGTATTTGAAAACTAAAAATAACCAAATCGCTATGCATGACATAAGCATGCATGGGAACTCTAATGTGGCAAAGAGCATGAAACAGTCACTGCTGAAACAATCCAGTTTCAGAGTATCTTGTTGCTAAAAGCCTGTACGTGATGTTTTACGAAATATACACGGCACACTCATAACCACTGAGTTAAAAAGCATTTTTCCTCTCATCTGATAATACTTGTTATAAATCTGAGCTGTTCAGCCTGTGGAATACTCATCATAGGAACTGCCAAAGCAGCATTCAACAATACACAGAAAACACTGAAGTACAACAGTATACTGAAATTATGTTTTTAATGCATAGGCATTGTAAATCAGTTAATTTCATCAGAACTGAAATACATAGGAAAGTAAAAAATTCTGGTACAGGTTATTTTTCTCTGCTGTACATATGTATATATTACGACCATGAAAAGGCAAAAAGCATCTGATTACGAAGACTGCTATGCATCACTTTTATCACAAGGTGGTGCAAGTGACCTACAAACACATTCACTTTACAAAACTTTGACAATATTTTGCTTTGTCACCCTCAAGCTAATAAGGCATTTTTTACATGTAAAAATAAACAAACAAAAAATGGCAACACAACAAAATGACTCCCCTCTCCCTTGTCTCAATCTGCCGCAGCCCTTGATGCAGAATATTGCTTCAGCCTAGCTTGGAAGTTTCGCAATTTTCCAACAGGCTGTTTTGCTGTACACCTTTAAGAGGAATTACACCAGGAAAATGGTTCTTGTCCCTGTCAAGTCTGAAACACTTTTGTTTTACACAGAATAGGGCATGTTGAGAAGTAGGTTCCCGAAGCCTGAGGAACACTG